TTAAAATAATTAATTTAAGGTTTTTGGTGTTACAATGTGAATATTATAGTGATACATATCACTTACTTCACAAATAAACTAAAACCATAAGATTTTTTGTGTCTTAGCTAGCAGTTCGATTACTAGTTAAGATGAAAGAATCGAATAAACAATTTAATTGTTTCTGCACTTGTTGCTGATATTTGAGTTTGTTTGATCAATCAAATAATTTCTCACAGGTGCTAAAGAAATTTGGATTCAAAAAGCCCGGTGTTGTTCATTTATATGGCTTCATCGGCGTCGAATACCAGATATTATATTATAAATTCTAAAATTTATTTATATATAAATAATTGTTAATCCTAAAATCATGGATCATAATAGTAATTGTTTTCATGTTAAAATAAATTAAAATCTAATTAAAAATTGATTTATTGATAAGAATAGTTAAATTTTTAAGATCCTAATAATCTTTTTTGAAAATAATATACTATTTACATCAATATTACTTGATTTTCTAGGTTCATGTTTATAAAAATGAAAAATATTTAAAATAACACAAAAATAAATAAGGATTCTTAAAGTGTTAAATAAATTAGAAAATTAATTTTATTCATAATGATTTATGCATTGAAAATAAAGATATCATACGAAATTTTAAGATGATGATATTGCCCTAAATTATATACTATAGTGAATAGTAAATATATATTTCATAACTGATAATATTCAGAATAACTTTTAGTTTTAAAAATTAAAAAAGGAATTAACATTATTGATTACAATAATAAAGTTTGTTTTGAACATAATATAAATAGGTATATTGCTGAACTTTTTCAATTTATCAAATATATTTATTTTTAGAATATTTAAGAGCAATATTCGATTTATTATATTATCTTAATGTAAAAAAATATATGCTCTTTCATTTTTGTGAAATTATTTCAAGAAATTCTTAAATAAACAGAAAGATGAATCATTTTTCAATATAATAATTAATGATTTAAAATTCAACTACAACTCCTCCAAATGAAGACTCATTTCGTAAGCCAATCATATAAATTATGACTCAAATCAACCAATAATAAATGAGAGTACGCAATCCTTCTTAGGAAAGTCGTAAAGCATAAATTGACAGTCATTAAATTAAAATTACTAATTAAAAATCTCCTACTGTAACTCAGATCAGTGTATAGTTAGCTTCTGATAGGATATCTCCTAATAATCAAAAAGATTTACTTCTTATTAATGAAGAACCAAACAATAAAGAAGACTCATAAAGTATTATCAAGAAATCAAATGATTGCGAATTACTGTATCGAAAATCCAATTTAAATAAATCAAATACACTTCATTCATCATTAAAGTTATTGTACTTTTCAAGATCAAATTTGTTCAAATAATAAATGTTAACGAAATAGCAATTTAAAATTATTCATGACTTATCTTCAGTCTATATTATTCCTATAAAACGATAAATTCTAAATCGAATAAAATAAGATTCTATTTTTAAATAAGTAATCTATAGTATCTATATATGCTTTTTAATCTTTTATTTGACTATTTTATTAATAGAATTGGGCTGTAATAAATTAACAATTTGTAATTAATAGATTTTCCATTATTTATTAGTCATATTTTAATTAATTGATTGTGTTTATCACATTATAATCAATAAATTGTGCATAGGAAGTATGTTTGCAGATATAGTTACAATATTACCATTTTTTGCATTTTTAATGGATTTAGGTGATGCATAGAATATATTTTATATGTTGTATCTAATAAGAATCTAAAAAATTACTGATTATATTTAAAACTTAGTTTTTTATTTAAATTAATCTGATTAGATTTTTATTATTGAGACAACCATTTAACTTCATTTTAGTACATTTATTGCATAAACTATTATATATATGTTTGCTGAATAACAATAAGACTATATTAATTATATTCAAAGCATATTCACTGTATTATTTCAAAATCCCAAAATAATAAAACAATATTATTTTATTGTATATTTGATAAGAACACTTTTATTGATCTTTTATTTGTACAAAATTAGATAGATAATAAATTATAATTCACTTTCATTGGATGAATAGATTAATTATGCTCCTAAAACTTTGAAATCTATAATCAATTATTAATAAGATAATAAATCTACAAAATTTGATATGAAAAGTTTACCAATTCATTTACAATAATAAATGAAGAGAGAAAAGTACTTTAAAATACTATAAAATATTCCTATCTTTTAAAAATCATTTTCTAATTCAACCTTATTGAATTTATGTGAAATTATAGAAGAAGATATTTTATAACCAAATATGGTGATTTAATAGAAACAATGTCTTCATATTCTTTTAGAAGGACAAATTGGAATTGTTTAAAAATGTTAATCATCATAGAAAGAATTCAAATTGGCAAAAATTTATAATACATTTTAAATCTTCAATAACATAGCTTTTTTTAAGAATTAAATATAAGGAATAGAATTCAAAAGTATTGGATATTCAAAAATAGCTACTCTAGATTCATAACAATTTCAAAAATTAATAAGATAATGTCCTAGAGAATTCTAAAAATATAGAATGCTTATAGACACTCTTATGATTGAAAATCAATCTCATTTAATAAATATTTAATGTTTTAGTTGTCTTAAGGAACATGATATTACTGAATGTCCTATAGTAAATTATAAACCTAATAAAACTTAAGTCATTCATAATTATATGTTAAATAAAGATTAAAATAGAATTATTGATTTTAGAAGAGTAAATATCTTTATTATTTAATTAGTAAACACATCCAAAGAAAAGAAAGATTCTTGCTTAAATTGATTTAAAAGAAGATTCTGAATCATTAAACTCTGAAGAATACGATAAAGTCGAATCATTTTAAAAGGTTTTACCATCTTCCAACTCATTATAAAGTTAGAACAATAATAATTTTATAAATTAATTAGAAATAAGTTCTGTTCCTTATGTTAATTATTCACATAGTGGTTAAACCTTATAATCAAAGAAAATTGATTCAGAATTCTTTATATAATCTTAAGGAGTGAGTAGTAGTATTAGTAGTAGAAAAATCTTTGTTAATGAAATCAAAGAAATCGCATAATCTAAATTTTAAAGACTTGATTAAACAGAAGATCAAGGATCTTAATTAAATAATCAAGCTTTACAAAGAGTATAAGACAGTGTCTTACAAACAAAGAAAAGATTTAATTAAAATGCATTAAAAAAGAATGAATTATAGTAATATTAAAGATATCAAACTGATATAAAATCTGAATAAAAAAATAGAGATTAAAGAAAGAATCAAACAATGGTTAATAGTCGGATAGAAATTCAAGATAATTTTAATAGAAGAATATCAATAGAGAACAATTTCTTAGAATTTTTTGACAAAATCAATTCATATGAGGATTATTTTCCCCATTATAATGTTGATTAACAAATTAACAATTATTAAAAGATGTAATCTTTAAAAAAAGATTTTAATTGATAATAGCAATGATATCTTGTTTTTATATATTTCTATTGATTTTAAATATATTTAATTAGAATTTTTATAAATATTAAAATTAAAAGTTTCAATACAACATATTATATAATCATATAATTCTCTAATTACTCAAAATTCTTTTAAGGTAAAAGACTTACCATCCTGTAATAGCAATTATACCAATAACTTCAATTAAACTGAAAATCAACAATTTATTATTTGCAATTTAAACCTCTCTTAATCCTCCTTCAAATTATTAAGCAGCCATTTTATCATAAAAATAATTATCCTTAATGATATTAATTTAATTTACCTTCATAGCTGTGGATAATCTTTCTATTCTAAATGTTAGAGGATCTAAATCAGTCAATTTAAGAAACTCTTAATGAGAATCATGAACATCAATTGCAAATGTTATTGTTAATGGTTCTTTAGTCTAAAATATAATATAAAATACTCTTTTATTTATGAATATGAATTTATATTCTCCTTTTTCAGGAACAGCAATTTAAAAAATACCCTCTTAAACTCTTTCCTTTGAATATAATAATGTATTATTGGCAGTCTTTATGTAGAAATCAATCTTTTAATCCTATCTAAATTAAGGTATAAAATATGCTCCTCTTATAGTAGTTGGCTTCTTTATTGTTTCACATAAAATCTAAAATTAGTTATTTATTTGAAATACTTCTGTTGCTCCAGATTATAATTCAAAAGTAAGCAAATCTTCAGGATCAAAATCAGTCATTAATTAATCCCATTACAACATTAAAGGATCAGCCTCAACCTTTTATATTATATCTTCAATAGGATCATCTGCAGTTGTAGTTTATTATTATTTATTATCATTTTCTTATTCTGATTGATCCTCAATTACTTAACCATCACTATCTCTATCTTTATCTCCAAATCTAAGCTAGTGTATAAGTCAATACATTATTTACCCCAAATAATGGTCTTAATGCTTCAAGTAATTCAATTATATTTTCTTCTGCATCTTCTATCATATCTGCCAAATCTTCATTATCTATTGATTCTTTCTCTTCTTTTTTTTTACTTATAGTGTTTTCCTCATTAGAATTTTCTTATGGATTAAGATTCTGGGTTGAATTTATTGCTTCTGATTCCAACTCTTCTAATTTTTTTATATTTTCCAAAGCTTCATCTCCATTAGTATTTGTATCAATATTATCAGATGCCAATACTAAACAACTTGCAAAGAGAAACAAAAATATTAATTTCATTGTTAAAATTATTGATTTATATTTATATTACAAATTTGACAAGTTTACTTTTTATATATTCATTCATCTAAACATTATTTAAGAGATTTTGAAGGCATTGTTGTTCTTATTTGTTGATTAAACTCTCTCTAAGTATTAGAAACTATATTTGAAGTAAAATTTTTATTTGCAAAAAACTTTCTATCTGTTATCTTCTACAATAGATAGCCTGGAATGTAATCAAATATTGCATAATTTATTTAATTTATGATAAATTAACTATTTTATTCATTTATATCCTTAAACTTATACAATAAGTGAAAAATTTTCAGAAGGAAAGCTGCCACTTCTACTTACTTCAATTATTTTTCTCTCATCAAGTCTTATATTGCAAGTTTCAGTATATATATTCTAAATATTTTGCCAATGTGGTTTACGAGATATTTTATGAAAATCTACTTTTGTAACAAAACTCCAAGTATAGAAAATGACAAATTATATATTTTTTAACAAAACTTAAATTAATATTTTAATCTTTTCCTCATTACAGCATCCCCCAGATTGTAGGCATAGATAAAGCTTAGCTTTTCGAGTTTACGGAGGTAAATCAGCTAAAGACAATTATGTTGTATCAGCTGTAATATAGAAAATAATTGGATTTTACAGCAAAGTCCATTGATTTTTATTTTACATTATTAAGAAGTTAATAATAATATATAATTCTATAATTTATTTTAAAATAAGTCATTAATATGATAGAATTATTAAAAATATAGAGTAATTAAGGTTATATTGTTTATTTTAAATATATCTTTTACAATTTACAAATCTTAAACATTTTATTAATATATAATATTAAATCATTAAGATTTATTTTCATTAATTACATTCAAAATCATATAATCAATTTTAATATATACATTATCATTTTTAATAATAAACATGCTCTTATATTTAATCTTTGTTTTTAGTTTCAACTAGAAAATAATGAAAAAATTTTAAGCATCCTAAAACAAATTTTGATAATCATATAAAATTCTGAAAGTCCTTTGAAAATAAGATGTAATCAATGAGACAATACTTTACTATTTTTTAATTCTTAGTTATACAAAAAAATGAATAAAAATGAATGGCACTTTAGGTTTTGATAAAAATTAATTATAATATTAAAAGGTATGGGATTTTTGATTATTATATATTTATGAATTATGAAAAGGATTGAGTAGAGGATATGAATTTTGAAGTAGGAAGTGTAAAAGTAGAAATAGAAAGAATGATTGTTTATGATAATATATATGCATCAGTTATTAATTTAAATAATATGCAAGCATAAGCAAATGTTTATTAGTTTGAAGCTGAGCCATAAGTATCTCACCCAAAATACCGAGATTAAGATATATATGAGGACCTCACTGACCTTCCTGATGATGAATCAAAAATAAAACCAGATTATTATATTGATCGACCTGTATGTGTAACTTAATAGTCAAGCCAACTCCGGAATATAAGCCTTTACCTAAGGGAATAGATGTGGAAACACAGATTGAATCTTATGAGCCTGATTTGTTTGATTACATTTTAGAGGTGGAGCCAGTTTTATAAGTTTTAGTGGGCAAATCAGTAGAATAAGCAAGAATGGAATTGATTGAAGAATTAGAAAGGGAAGAGTTGCGAATATAGAAGGCAGCCTTTGAAAAAAAACGAAATGCTGAATTAATGGTAACTTAGAGAATGGAAGCAGCATATGTTAGAAGAAAAGAAGAAAGAGTATATAATTATAATGATAATTAACTTAGGAAAGAAGAGTTTTGTAACACAAATTATATTAGGATTAGATGAAACTATCATAATAAAAATTCATAGCAAGAACTCTATCTAAAAATGTAGTGAAAGGAGTGAATTATAGAATTCTTAAGGATCTTGAAAATTTAGGATTATTGAAAAATGATTATTTATTAGAATTAAAAGTTCACTCGTTACCATGGTTAATTTAGAGAATAAAATAAAATTGTGAAAGCAATTAAAATTGTCTTGATAATTTTAATAATCTCTTGAATGAAGTCTAAACACCAATAACATAATAACATTAAAGTTTTTATTAGTAAGAATAATAAAGAAGAAAAGCCATATTAGATGAGAGAGAAAGAATTAGAATTGAAATAGAAGAGCGTAAAAAGAGAAAAGCAGAAATTAAAAGAAGAAGAGCATTAAAAGAAAAAAGAGAAATATAAAGAGGGGCATTTTATAATCTAACACTTTCTAAAGCAGAATCCCTTAATTAAATATTTTAAGCTAATATATAGGAAGGTACAACAGAGATTGGATAAAAGGGAATAGTTTTACATTTGGATCTATTTCTTTTATTAGCAGAAGGATTAGATTTAATTACTGGAGATTAATTGGATTAAATTGATGAATCAATTATTTAAACTATATGGATGGATATCTTAATGAATAAGTGTAATACATTTAATATTACAATAAATTCTTCCCTTTAACAAATTATTTAAGAAGCATTTGCTAAAATGGAAGAAGATTTATATATTTTTGAGAAAAATTCAAAATAGGCAACAATTGATCAACTTAAAAATTAAACACCATTTTGGGCATCTTATGTTTCATAATAATATGTACCTAATATTAGAAAGATCATATTAAATAAATTATTAGATGGTTTTTTTGATATATATTTTAAATCTGTAAATTATAAAGAACCTAAAGCAAAAACAGAAGTTAAAATTAAAACAGAAGAAGCAGATTAATAATAATAAAATGATTAACCACCTCCTTAATAAACAGAAGATTAATAATAATAATAATAATAATAATAATAACCAGATTAAATTGAATAATAACCAATTGAGGATGAATATTAAAAACCTGAGATTACATAACATGATTTAGATATGGTTGAAGCAAAAAAGAAAATTAATCTCATTTTTAAATAACCACAAAATTAACTTGAGAATGTAACTGCAGTAGTCAATTTACTTGTGCCTTGTTTTGTTGAAGAATAACCTGAATAATAGTAAGATTAAATCAATCAAGATTCATAATAATAGACAACAGAATAATAATAGACAATAGAATAATAATAATAAGAAATTAATGAACCTGTTAAACCTGTTGGAAAATGGGATTTTGATCCTAAGACAATTGATATTTATGATGGTGAATAACCATTGATTTAAGAAGGGGAAAGATAAGTTGTGGATTGCTTATTTTAATATGCATTCTAAGAATAGGTAATTGTAAATGATGAAAGGGCAGTTGAATTTTGTAGATTTTAAATTTATACTTATTTGAAGGAAAAGTAATTTATTCTATTTAATTCTAGATTGGAATCATTTTTAAATATTCCTGAATTTTAAAGTCTTTAATTTAAGAAGCTAAAATATTCCAATCTTAATGTCCCAATATATGATTTCGAATTATGAATGGCATTGGTTCCTTTTATTATTAAAAATACAATAAGCTATCTTAAATTATTAATAGTGTTATAAATATTGTTGTTGTATATCATTATTCAATTTTTTTATTTACTTTAAATACCTTATAGATTAAAAGATTGTTTTAATAAATCAATATATGAGATATTAATTCAATTAATAATCATCTATTTCTTTGATTTTTATAGAGAGAAACTATAAGATTTATATTAAAATAAATGATATTAAATTGAATAAAATTCTATATATAAAGATTTAGTGATTGATGAATATAAATTATTGATAATTTTGATAATAATCTTATAAAAAAATAAACTACTTCTATTTTTAAGTATGTAATAATTCAAATATAAGATAATAATAATCTACAACAAAAATAGTTTATGTATGAATAATTGATTCTATTAACTTAATTCAAAGAACAATTTAAAAATTAAATGTAAATATTAGCATGGATTATTGGAGCATTCATAATATTGATAGCTATTTTAGTTGGCTATAGACTAATATATTTAATAAAAAGAGATATATAAAAATAAGAATATTAATAAAATAACAAAACTCATCCGTATTACTAAAATTTCTAATCGCATACAACTTCAATAGATGATAGCATTTTAAAACCATAATCTAATAATAAATTAGAACAACAATTAAATTCTTAATACCCATCAAATAATTTCTAATAGAACAATTCAGTCAATTCTGAATATTATAACATACCTGAGGAAGATCATTAAATTGAAAACAATAATATTCAAATATAAATATATCACTGTAATACTCAAAAAAGTTATGGAACATTTAGAGATGCTGACAGAAAAGATAAAAAAGAAATAGATTATTTGAGTTCTAGGTTTTAAAGTAGGACTAAAAGTTAAAAAATTTTAAAGTTTTCTAATCATGATAAGGTATAAAACAGCATGATATTTTCAAAGTCAAATAATTATGTTCAATGTTAAAAGGAGATGGAGCCTTTAGTTTCAAATAGAAGTCAAAATCAAAAACTTATAAGCAATAATAGTTAAAATAATTCTAATGAAAATAAGAATGATCACACTATTATTAATATTTAGAATCAAGATAACAATTAAGATAATGATAATTAATAATGTGAAAATTAGTAGGAAGATCAAAATAAGAATGATCACGTTATTATTAATATTTTTTAAGATAAAAACTAAGATAATGATAATTAAAAATATGAAAATTAATAGGATAAAGATGAAAAAAAGAATGGACATTCCATTATCAATATTTTTCAAGATAACTATTAAGATGATTAATATGAAAATAAGTAAGATAAAAATGATAAAATTGGGTTAGCAGATTAACGAGAAAGTTATAAATCTAAGTTTGAATTTGAAACAAGTAATTTATAAGATCTAGAATAAAAATTTGATAAAAATAATTAAGATTTATTGAATGAATAACCATCAAATAATTAGAATAATGAATTGAATATATCATTCAATTAATTTATTTAAAATTAAAATTTTCAAATATCAAATGAAATTGAAATTGAAAAAATAGAAAAGAATAATGAAGAAATAGATAATTAAAGTCAATTATAGTCATAATTATTTGATTTGCCATCTACTGATAATAGGGATTAGTAGAATTATAAATATATAAGAGTAAATAAGAATAAAATTATGTATGTTAATGATAAAGATAATCATTATACTGGTGTTGCATTCGTTTATAAAGTATAATATGATACGGATAATAATCCAAAGTTTGAAATTTATGAAGGATCATTTAATAAAGGAAAGAAATCAGGAAAAGGAATATTATATGGAGGAAAATCTAAGTATATTAATTATGAAGGAGAATGGAAAGATGACTAATAAAAAATAGATTAAAATGAATAATAAAATGAAGTTAAAATAGACATATAATAAACAGAAGTTCCAAAGAAAAAAAAAATAATAATTTATGAAGATGGTGAATTAGTTTAAAATGATAAAAATAAAAATTAAAATTTAACAACATTTGTTTCATAACCTTTTTGGATTAAGTATAATTAATAGTATTCAATTAAAGATATGGATATTTTAAGAAGTGAGACAAGTTGGTTTACAAGCTCAATAATAGATGGATTAGTATAATACTTAAATATTTAGTAAGAAAATTATTTAAAAAACTTTTTTAAGAAAGATACAAAAAGGTATTTGTTTTGTCCTAGTTATCTTTATGCTAGTATGTCAAAGGATAAGATAGAAAATAATTTAATTACATACTAAAATTATATATTAGAATATCAACCAATAAATTTCAATTTGAAAACCTTATTTTCAAGAATTTATTTTGCTATTAATAAAAATAATACCCACTTCTTCTTAATATATGTAGATTTACCCTCAAAATCTTTGAATATTGTAGATTCTATAAGCAAAGTAGAAAATTTTTATTAAACTGAAATTGAAATCTTTTAAAACATATTTTAATAATAAATCACTTCTATAGAATTAAAATCATGTATCTAATAAAGAAATGGTTATGATTGTGGACCATATACTTGTCTTAATATGTATAAAGATTTTTATGATTTGATTCAAAATGTTTGTCCTTAAAAATAGGAAATATAAATTAATAATCCATAATAAATGAGAAAATTTTTATTTGATATTTTACACAATCAAGATAATAAATGAGTTTATGAATAATTAGATTTAAGAAATTTGAGAATATTATTTTTAATTATTTAATAAATAATAGTGTTTTTACATTAAAACTATAATGAAATTATTGAGAATTTTATATGTAAAAAGAACTTTATTAATAAATAAATGATTTCATTGTTTACACAATATCAACATGTATTTAATTATATATTAGAAATCATTTAATAGATTTTTATTATTCTTTAATTTCATATATCTCTTGAATTAAAATTGTATTCTTATTTTAGTATTTCTTAACAAAATAATTGATATTTATGATATTTAATAAATTAGTTTAGAATATATAGATAAGTTAATGTAGTTTATTGATGGTTTATATGTTTTAGATATGACTGTAAGTTTTGGTGATTCTTAATAACGTATTTTAATATAAATAATATATAATTTTGAATAATGGATGAAACAATCTTATCAAAATAAAATAACTTCCCTGGTTCTTATATTAAGTAAGATTTAAAGGAAGCTGATGAAGAACATAGAAATCATAAAGAATTAAAAGATAAGAAATATGGCTTTTATTTTTTATTGTTTTAAGGATTAGTTTATTTGATTACAATAATTAGTTTTGGATTTGGGAATCCAGATTAATTAGGAAAACCCTATGATTCAGATTGTATTCTAATACACTTTATAAGTTAATAGAGAATGTGTGTGGAGTTGATGTAGGGTTAGAATAATATAAATTTATATACTTTACAAATCCAACAAATTAGAAGCATTTAGACAGAACAGTATGTGTAAAGGAATGTCCAATTTTGACAGTAGATAATGATGATGATGGTTCTATATTTATTTATACTTTAGAATCATTGCAATTGTAATGTTATCCAAATAAGGCTATAAATTCATGCAGAAATAGACCATCTATTGATGATCCAAATTTTTCAATGATTTATTATGATTCAGTACCATTTATAGATGTTTGCCTTCCAAAGAAATCTACTTATTTCAATAATATTCAAGATGGATTAAAATAATCAGGTATTATAAGCTTTTTATCTGATATGAGTAATGGAAGAGTAATTATACTTGCTAGTTTAGCATTATGTTTATTACTAAAGTAAGACATTAAATAATTAATAAATCTAGTTAATTATTCTATTTTTTGATGATCAAAGTATAAAAGACAGCCATTTGGGTGATTTCAATAATATCAATATTTGGTCTATTTTTATCTGGGTTATTGGGTTTGTTTTATTATTTAAAACAATCTTAATATTCTGAGCCATTGATAACTACAACTAAATTAACAAAAGACTAAGCTATAGGTATGATTTAAGTATACGAATCCAATATAACTATTATTCTAATTTCAAGTGTATTTTTCCTTTTATTTGGTGTTTATTTATTAATAGATTTAATATTAAATCGTAAAACATATAAAACTATGGGTATTAAGATATAAATAGTCAATTATTTTTTTGACTTTTCATCATCAGGAATTCAATAATAAGAAGGATAACCATCAAGATTCAGAGAAATTTTAATATTATTAATGGGTAGTGCAGGTTGTTTATTGATTTTCTGTGCATTATGGGTATGGATGGCAACGTAATATAAATTTATAATATTTTAATAGTAATTTATTTTCAATAGGAAAAGCAGTATAAGGATATTATGCTTTTAATACTTATTAGTTGAATTGGACAACTTATATTATGGGATTTATTCATATTTTTGAATTGGTAGTAGTTACTTTAGCAATTATAGGTAGTGAATAAATGTTATTGATTGGAAAAGTTGTTGAAGTTTATAAACATATGGGAATATAGAGATAGAAAATAGATAGTCATGATCCAGAATTATCATTAATGGATATATTAGAAATTTATGCTTTAAATAATTTTGGATCAGTTGTTTTTGGAGAATTAATCATATTTTTATTGATGATTCCAAGATTATTTATAAAGATTTATGTATGGATAAGATAAAAAAAGGATTCTCATTATTAAATACCATCTAGATTATAATAGATATTGTGCATAAATGATAGAGCATATTTATTGGCATATTTAAGAAATGATGAATTCTTATTGAGTGCTAAATCTCAATATGTTTTTGATTAAAAATTGAAAGAAACAACAAATGTATAATATCATGGTGAATAATTAACAGTCACTTATTGTTTTGCTGTAGCTAATTTATGTGTATCATTAACTTACATATTAATTATTACTACAAGTTCAAAAATAGGAATTCATTAACCAGTATATTTTCTTTTGGTTTCATTTATCTTTTCTTATTTCGTAATTATAGATTCAAATTTGCTTAGATATCTGTGATGTTTTCAACAGTCTATGGAGCGACAATTGATAATTTGACTATCTTATTATACAGAGACACTACAGCTGATGGTTAAATAGTTGGAACATGTGTAAGAAATGTAGTAAGATTAATGAAAGAACCAGAATTGAATGAATAGACTCATTAAAATAATGGATAATAAGATTGAATAACTATTGCAATACAGTATCTAAAATACAACATATAATAAACAATCAATTATCTTCCTCCTCTTATAATCCACCTTCTTCTATATCCTCTTTATCTTCTTATTCCATTTTTTATATTTCTTCTCTTTCCTTCATACATAGATCATCTGTATTTTTTGAAGTGCACTATTTAAATTAATAATATAATATACATCTTCAACTTTAGGTCTTTATTCTGGAGCCACTCTATTACTGAAATGATTAACAATCTATTAACTTTCTTGCATATCCCAAACAAATAATTCACCTTAACTTGATCCACATCCATAAGTCCATGGAGAATCTTAATAGAATTAACCACAATAAAGTGATTCCTAAATTAATTATTTAAATTTCTTACTAATTTTGGATTATATGAACTTATCAATTATAATTAACCATTCTTTATAGGAGCATCTGTATCAAAAACTCTAATCTTTCCATCTAAACAAGTAGTAGCCAATAAACCTGGAACTCCTGAACTCATATGTACACTACTGAGTGCCTTTTTATTTACATTAAAATTAGCTAATGGTTATTCACCTATTTTTCTAGCATCTAATAATATTAAATTTCCATCTTCAGTAGAATATGCTATTTAATATCCTTTAATTGGATCCCAACAAGCACTTTCCAAAGATCCTAACATTTTATGTTAATGAATTGAATCTGGTGATCTGGCATCAAATAAACA